TTTGGATGTAGAAATTACTAACGGGATAGCCGTTGCATCTTTGTCCATGTAGGAATTTACTGTATTTGGTTCATAAATTTATTTTTAAAATCATAGTCATAAATGTATGAATTACTCATCAAATTTATTACCCGGGAAGTTGAAATTTTCAGCCATCTATACATATTTGTTGTCAAATGAAATCAAATTTTCATTTTAATACAAAACTCTCTCCAGATCATCATTGTCTTAAAGATTAAGCTGCAGCAAAAACTTCTCGAAAAAATAGGATTTGATTTAACGTATAAACTCTTTTCTGTATTGTTTTTGGACTGCAATTCTCTCAGTTTTTTTTTTTTTTTGATTTTAAAACCAAATGAAAATTTGCCGCAGACCATGTAATATTTTAAATTTTGATTCATATGAATTCGTAATAGATCGGTTATAGTATTTTGTTTATATGACATTCTTTTTCAATGATTTTCAATGATTGGCGAATGAAATAGTGGTATACCAATATATTTCCTTCCTTATTGCTTCTCATTTAAATAATCCATTACTACTGTGGTCATTGTCATTATCATCACTATAATTTTTTCCATAATGTTCTCTATTTCAAAAAAATTCCACCTCAATTTTTAATAAAGATTTGAAGTGGCATTTTTAATAAAGATTAAAAATTTTTTAAAAAACCTAAAGATTCGCATGCTTCATATCATATGACTTGAGCTCATATTGATTACTTACCAATTAATATTTTTGCATATGAAAAATTTGCATATAAAAAGTTTTTGCGTATGAAAAGTTATTTTGTTGAGATGATTTAGGGCCGGCATGAAGTAATACAGATGTGAGATGCATCAGTTGCAAAGCGTACGCATGTTTGCAAACTAGCATTTTGGGACGCATTGATTGATTTCGAAGGAAGGGTATTATACAGTGAAACGGTGGGTTTGTGAAAACATTAGGATTCATGGATGGGAATTGAAAACAGTTTGGATTTTAATATTTTGGTTCTGAGGATTCTGAGCGGAATTTGAGATAATCCAATGAGGAGGAACTCTCAGGTAATTTGAGGGAGATAATGATTGTATTCTGAGATGAGGGGTTTGCATTCCCGAACTTCATCTCTTGTAATTATTGCTTGCATTCCGGTAGATGTGCTCTGAAGTTCTCAAATTGGGTTAATTTAGCGGATAGATGGAAAGAGAATGCATTGGTAAATTGTTATAATTCTGTAGAAATTTCATTTTTCTTTAACATGGGCGTTTTTAAGTTATTTGATTTAAATTATATGAGCATATGCTTGAGGTATTGCTTGAAAATTTTTGCATAGCAAGTCGTATAGACCTCTAGCGTTCTTCCCTTACTTTGCTTATTTATTGCTTGGGAGTGATGAAGTATTGAAAAAAAAGAAAAATAAATAGATTTGTAATTTGGGGTGAAAGTTGTTCGACAATTCCTTTTATTTGATACTATTAACAGCATAGTTTTTGTCAACAATGTTAAATGAAAGGAAGTGTATTTCTTCGATTCATTGCTGCTTTGTAGTATGGAAGTGTGAGATGGAATAATTGTATTATGAAGGTATTGTCTCTGTTTAAGGTTCACATTCTTTGTAACGATGGTTTTGGTGGCTGGGAAAAGGGTGAAAATTGTGAAAAAGCACAGACGTCGCTTCACGAGGCATGAATCAGATCGTTACCATCGGCTGCGTCCAAATTGGCGAAAACCAAAGGTTTATTTTGGCATTCAGTTTTGTTCCGAGAGAAAAGAAATCATTCCTTTTTTTTATTATCAAATTTGCCGGACTAAGTATTTGATAGGTTAGGATATTTTGCTGACTCGCAAATGACTCCCGAAACCTCTCAAATAAGACAAAAAATCACATCATTTCTTAAAATAACGGAGAGGGGAAGGAGCCTTTTTTTCTGCAGAATTTTTTTAACAGTTGTGCCGCCAGCTATTGCTCTGTGATTGAAATCTAATTTTTATTACATTCCGATAATTGATACTAATTAGCAGGATAGTTTTATACGCGAGCGTTTCAGTATAATGCATGAAACAACTTTTTAAGGGTATTGATAATCGTGTCCGAAGAAGGTTCAAGGGACAGCGCCGCATGCCAAAAATTGGTTATGGTAATGCTAAAAAGACGCGACATATGCTGCCAAATGGATTTAGGAAAGTACTGATACACAATGTCAAGGTTGGTTTTGCTTAGCTTTCAGGCTGCGGTAATTTGCTGTTTTTTTGTGTTTTTTATGTTTGTTGTTTTTGTTTCAATTTGTTTTTTTAAGTCATCTGCTAGTAATGCACATCGTGTCTTTCTTTCACTTCAGTTATTCAACTGCATTTAATATAGCTTTGCTTAGTAGCAAAGTCTAGCAGAATTTCGTTAAATCGTAAAGGTCTACACAGATTAATCGACAATTTAGTTAAATTTGATGAGGGTAACAGATTGACGGATTTTTAGGATTTGGATATGTTGTTGATGCAAAATAAGAGGTTCGCCGGTGAAGTGGCGCACGGCGTTTCATCAAAGAAACGAAAGAGTATTGTGGAACGGGCGCAACAGCTTAACATCAAGTTGACCAATGGGCATGCAAAAATCAGATTTGAGGAAAACGAATAAATTGATTCGAATAGAATTGAGTGAGATTAAAAGTGATTTTTGATTTTGTTGGTTTTACTAAGATAAAAATCTGGCAAGGAATCCCGGAGGGTTGTTTCTCTGAGATGCTTTCTTTGTTTTGTTTGTCACTTTTTGTTGATTTAGAATACGTCTTCTTTGTTTTGTATTACACAATGATCTTGACATGGGTGATTTTTTTGAAATTTATGTAATGAAAAAGTTTACTCGTTGTTCCACTTATTATATTAAAAGCGAAATTTAGAAACCGTACTGTTCGACTTGTTAGTGAAATTGTTTGTGGAACAACTATAAACATGGATTTCAACGAAAAAACAACATTCGCAACTCGCGTCAAAATATATTGCCAAATTGAAATGCACATAATCTTTACTGAAGTTTGAGGGGCAATGTACAATGTCGTAGCAACTTAATCAAATTGATTAGTGGACATCAAAAATCAAATCTAAAGAAAATAAACAAATTGATCCAACTAGATATAAGTGGTGACAATTGTTCAAAAGTGATTTAGAACATTTGATTCGTTTTTGCTAAGCTGAAAGTCCTTTAAAGCATCTTGCGGCATCCCGCTCGTTAGATAAAAAATCTTTTCCTTTATGAGGGGAAATGCGATTTTCAAAATGCCATTTCCTCTACTTTCCTTTTGGTCGGTAGAACGAAAAGAGTGGATATGTTTTTTGGAATCCTTTGCGCTTTCAACACTATATCTATCGCTTCTAACAAGCAGTATCATTCGTCAATGAAATATCCTTGCAAAATGTGGGTCCTCTGTGGTTCGTGCTGGTGAGAGTTGGGAATGCAATACCTCAAAGGTGGTCAGGGCTGGATATCGCAACTTATTTCTGAGGATTGACTTTTAGACACCAATACCTATTTGTGATTTCAAAATACTGTTACCTAATTATAAATACAGCTCAATTATATTAAAACAAATAACCAAATGTGCAATAAAAAATTGAGGTGAACATGATGGAATGTTCAATAATGTTCGCGTTGGAAACTGCTCAAATGAAACAAATAAAAGTGTAATATATGCAAAGAACAATGTTTCTCGACTTGGTGGCGGCTTTTTGACTAGTGTTTTGCAGCATTCTAGTTCTGAAAATGAACACATCACTAGAATCAGGTTAAGCCCAAAGTAACATGTAAAAGTTTTGCAAATCATTCAAAAAAAAACACAAATAATAAAAACCTCGGTGTATTCATCTGTTTGTGCACTATCAGCATCTGCAGATTTTGTATATAGCGTGGTTTTAGTCTCATTCAACACCTGAGGTAAGGATTTGCAGTGGTGCAAAAGAGAATTCTTAGAAAGCGAAGAGCCTGCCGTTTCGTGCGATTGACTGTTTCCGTCCAGACCTGCAATTGCCCTCAGTATAATAGTCAATCCAAAGAGGTGCCGCTATATGAACAAAGGCGACCACCGGATTAGCTTTTATGAACATAGCATCTACAAGACAGTAGAAATAATGGAATGCAAATGCAGGTATTTAAGCAAAGAAATTATGCACAAATGCTAGCGTGCAATTTCATCACTAGAAAATATTTCAAAACTCAAAGTTTTTGCGATCTGAAAACCGTAAAGCAGAGATGTGAATACTCACTTCCTTTATCAATGACTTTTAAGGCAGCCTTCAACAATGGATTTGTTTCCTTCACTGAAGTACTTTCAGCAAGTAATTCACCTTTCTGGAAAAATAATGGAAGGAATTAGACAAATTGCGCTAAAAAAGATAAACTTCGCACTTGATTTATGATTTTATCGATGTGAAGAAGCCAGCCAGAATTCTGATCAAATCAAAAAGCAGATGAGTAGATCAATAAATGATTACCCTTTCTTCCATCTTCCATTTTGATATTTCCCGACGTCTCTTATACAGCTCGTCGTCATCAACTTCAACATTTTCTGCATCAACAGTTACGTTATCAATTTTTTCATCGACATTATCACTTTTCGCTAGACGTAATTTAAAGCGGAAAGTACGATCTGTTTCGTCCGTGACATCGCCATCAACATGAAGCTGATCTTTCCAATACAACAACTTCCTCTCTTCCTCATCCTGAATTTAGAGGACTCTTTGATTTCATTATGTCGATACAAAGGTCAATCTTACGCTAATCAAAGATCGATTGAATTCTAGGGTTAATTCAAAAATAAAAGGATGAACAAGAATCTTACTCGTTGCTGTTTTACCCATTGCTTATGAAGTTGTTCTCTGATGGTTTCATCATCTGGAAGTTCATCATTATCTCCTTCCTCAGCCTCATAAACATTCATTTGTTCTTCATCACTTTCATCACTTCCAACGTCTTCGCCTGAAAGTGAAGCCTCTTCCTCGATATACTCGGATCTAAAATGAGTTTCCGGTGGCATTTATTAGACTTTTCATGTACACAAAAGGCAAAATATCAAAAGAACATGTCGGAAATACAAACTTCTTTTGTCGCTTCTGTGTAATCTGCAGTTTACGGACTTGTTCCAATTCATCATTGGATTCTGCTTCCTCGATACCTTTAACCCGCTGATCCTAAAAATGCTTCCTTTCTATTATTCTCAAAGCAGCTCCTAAAGTGGTATTTCCTCGCAAATCAGCTCCTAAAATGATTTTTGACGCTTGCACAAAATTGGTCATCAGAAGTATCATATATAATGCAGAAGTCTGAAATATGCTGATCACCCAATCATATGGCAATGTGCATCTACGAGATGAAGTTGCTCTATTTGTAAATCTCAAAATCGAAAGAACAAAAGATTGTAACCTCGTCGTCATTTTCTTCATTGCTTGGCTCAATTTCGTCTCTCTTATAATCATCGTCAACAAATAGACGTCTCTTATTATTAACTTCGCGCTTATCATTTTCGTCTAACACATCAGAGTCACTTTCTTCATTGTGGTCTGAGGTATTGAAAGCTTCATCATCCTCTTCATCCTCATCAAGCAATATTCGTTTAACTTTTTTTAGCAATCTCCCACTACGCCGCCATGCCTTTATACTTTCTTCGTCATAAAATCTGGTTGAGAGTATCAATCGGTGCTTCCGACGTCGCTTTCGTACTAATCGATAATATTCCTCGCTACTGTAGTATTCCGGCGGCCTAAACTATTTGAATTCACGTTCATAAAATACAAAAATAGCATCTAATCCCTACTACTGATCATTTTTTAGTTACCATCAGAGATATTAGAACGACTAACCTTTGCAAAACCATAATTATTGTCAAGTACTTCAAATCTTTTAAAGCATATGCCATCAACAACCACAGAACCGTTTTTTTCAAAAGCCTCAAAGAATTTCCTTAAAACCCGATCTCCTCCTCTCTTTCTCTTTCCTCTCTCAAATAATAGAACTACGAGTGAAATTGTTTTGTATGCCTTGCAAAGATCACATAATTGTGCATAACAAATAAATTAGAATTCGTATTAAATCGCAAACAGTGCCTCTTTTACTAACTTTGGAAACTTCTCTTCAGGATAATCGAAACTGCCAGAGCAATTGTCTGCAACATCACTCAGCAGGTCATCCACCAGACTTGAACTTCCGTATTCCGATTCTAGTATATGATTTAGTCATACATCTAACTTTGCAAATAAAAGAAATAGATTGTTCCTGAATTTATTCTCCTTTGTGAAGTTTTAAATCATATCTCATGACTATAAATTTTAGCAACAATCATAATGAATAAGCACTTCCAATCTGATAATTTGAGAAACTTATTAAGCAAGAGATTCAAATTTCCACAAAAGTAATATCATAAATTACACGGAAATGTTTAGGAATAATCAGTGCGCTAACCTGTTTCGTCCGATAAGTCAGATGATTCTGTTTCACTGCCTGGTAAATAACTGAAATTGAATAATTTAAATTTGAAAATGCAAACATTTTCATTTTTTTTAGTATCATTCATACAATTTAAGGCCACTTGCTCCACTATTGTGTGATTGTTGTTTCACTAATTGCTGTACTGACTTTAATGAGAATAAGTACACTAAAGCGTCAGATGAAATCTAGTACCGTACATTTGTATGAAATGGTAAGATGTTGCTGTTGAGGGTGATAACTGCTCCAAAAAACCTCACTTTTACAAGAAATTTCTGGATTTAATAAAGCAATGAAAGAATAATTAAAACTCTAAAAGTAGCATAAAAACAGCTCGCTTCTCAAAAAAATTTAATATTAGTAAGAATGGTGCTTAACCTCTTATGATCTTCGTGTTTCATCAGATTTTCGCAAGTTTCCTCTCTTGACACCAACAAATCTTTTTGCCGATCTCCATCTTCCTAAAAGAATAAAAATCCCATTACGACGAACATTACCAAAACCTAATTAGCATACTCTATTCTGGACCAATTCTGCTTATTCAGTTACGTCAGTTTTATTGAAAATTTTGAAGATAAAAAAAGACATACAAAAATCTTTTCGGCGAACTTATTATCACTGTCTCCAGTTACATCTTCATTTCCTTCCTCGTTTAATTCGATGTT